ATTTCGACGAGCCGTCCGCGAGCTTAATCAAGAAAGATAATAGGATCTGAAACACAAAGAAGTAATGTTTAATCTTTTATACATGACGTAAAGCTTAAGATAAGCGTAAAAGCAGAATGAAATTTATGTATCTTCTTGTACTCATTAATGTAAAATTTATGTTCAATATACAGCTAATCTTGTATGGAATGCAATGTTTCACGGAAGGTGAATTGTCTTACAAATATACCATCTAGCTGCTCTTACTAAAGAAATCAGATCAATGATTCCTTTCTCTCCCCCGAACCATCGAAACTCGCTTTCACCAGTGCACGGGTGTTTTGTTTTTATTAAGTCGCTGCATTGCTAAACAGTCGAAATCGACAATGTCTATTTTAAGTTTCGCGTTCAAATCCAATACGCCACTTACATACGTATGTATTTATTATATTACGGATGCCGCGTAATCTTTTACGGATTGTCGCTGTAATCTTTTACTAAATAAAAATACTCGAGTCAATATGAATCGGCATGCTACGTTTTGTAGTCTTGTATTTTGTAGGCCTGAATATTTTAGATCTTTCACAAACGAGTCTTGTGTTTTATTCAGTTTTTACAGTCGTCTCATTCCGTGCGATAATAACGTTACTCTCTGTAATCCTCAAGAGAATTGAAAATTTCATTTGGAATTCTAAAACCTTGCAGATTTCAAGAAAAATTACCACCGTTATTACCGAAGATTTGTCTTTCTGACAATCGGGATATAGGTTCGTCCGGAAACCATGCTCCCCCTTACTTGGGCCAGTCGACCCAGTTTCGAGCTCTCGTGTGCTCGTAAAATGCAGAACGCCCGGTAGATAGGTGCTCTGGATTTTTTTTAGGTGACCTAGCTGAAAGACATCGATTTTACTTGAATTCCGTAAGCAGGAAACTGGCCGTAGAACGCAGCTGTGAACAAATACGATTAATTGACTATACCACGCGTAGATATTAAAGCTAAAGGTCAAGCCAACGGCGATTAATGCACTTTTTCTTTTACATGGAGACTTACTTTCGTGTACATTACTTTATGAAAACGTTGATCTTGAAAATATCACGAGTTATTACAAATTCAAATATTTGATCTAGAAAACCCGTTTGAAAAAATTTTCAACCTTCTCCTCTTGTAATATGATACCGAAGATCAAAACTTAGGAAACGCGATAATGACCAAGTTTTTTTTTATCTTCAAGGGTTAAATGTGCGCCGCGAATACGCACGATATTCTTGTCGATAGTGCTGTGTTTCGCCATCGTAAATGGAAGAGCGAGTTTATTTCTGGGCAGTCTTGAAAGCGTTCCTTTGCCAGTCGAAGAACGGACAAGATCGACGTAGACGCCGCGTGTTACTTCAAGCAAACCTAACACACTTGGTTTCTTTTCTATCGAGAAAGGTAGAAAAAATTAAATTAACATAAATCTTGCGAGCTCAAATAATCGAAAAGGAATTTCGTATACACACGTCATAACGTATTTCCAACAGTAGAAAATCGTATCTCTTTGTCGCGTTCTCTATTTTTTTTTTTTTTTTCAAACTTTGTATCTTACCCTTTATTCATTCAGGCAGACCAGAGAGAAATAAATGAAGATGACGGGATGATTACGTATGACGTGTCTTCGTATAAAGCCGAGAGAACCTTTAATAACGCCTTCGTTATCCGCATCTGCAAGCGTGAACATCGCTCGCACGTTCAAAATAGGTAATAGTTCAAAGGATAATCCCTACTGCCGAGAAACACGAAGAAAATTAGTCTCAATTTAAATTAGAACACGATCAACAGATGCGTCTTAAGAATTAATCTTACATTTGTGATATATTTCTATAATATATCCTTTCTATTTGCATTTTTTTTCTAATCGTGCCTATTTGCGTCTGATAGTTGTATCCCGATTCGGAGGAGGGGAGTTTAGACTTCGATTAAACTGTTTAGTCGAAGTCTCAAGGCACAGCCTCGAGTTTCGCTTCTCGCGGCTGAATAATCGTCTTCGGAGAAGGATTACATAGGATCCCTGAATCAGAAGTAAGACCTAAGACCTAACCCGCGCGTGATTCATATAGACTTCTGACTCATAAACGAGGCTGAGCTCGCAGCGTCTGCGAACGTATATTAATTCCTCGATGCGTGAAACGTATCCTCGTCCCCTGTACGGCCCTGGGATCGCATGGGTCCGTGATCAGCGCGAGCTGAAAATGGACGGGACGCTCGTCGCGGCGATCCGCAACGTGCGCTGGCTCGCCATGTTCTGACAGCGCGACGACGCGATCAGCTGTTCGGCGACAGCGTCGCTCGCGCCCAGCTGTGAGCGGTGCGCTCAGCTGACGACGCCATCGATACACGCCGTCGCTTCCCCCTCTCACTCCACCCAGGTTCCCCTCCTCCGTGCTCAGGAACGGTGTGGATGTCGTGTCGCCCACGTCCATCCATTGTTCACCGTTAACTCCCGAGATAAGCTTTCTTTGCAAACTAATGAGATAGCGAAACGATTTTTATTCACCGTATTTATGCTAATACCACGTTTCTCATCGATATTCATATTCATTATTGCATTGCGCAAACGTTAAATACGTACATGCTCTCTAAAACTTTAAATTAATGCCTGATTTATGCTTTGGTCTTAACCCTAAAATTTTAAAATTCAATCAATGGAATACAGATTTCAGTTAGGACCAATTAGGACTGACAGCCTTATTCGCTGAATTTTAAGATTTTAGGGTTAAGACCGAAACATAAACCAAGCAGTAGTTGGTCCTAACTGAAATCTTAATTCCATTGGCTGAATTTTAGGATTAAAACCGAAGTAGAAACCAGGCATCACTCTGAAGAATGAAATCTCGCTCTTTTTCAAGACTGACTCAATTTTCACTCTTTAAAGCGAGATTTCACTTTAAAGAATTTCGAGAGTGACGTATCAACAAATTAAAGTTTTCTTCTAATTGCGAAATAATTGTAAAAATTCGGATCTCGTTTCCAAGCGAATTTCCAGGTGAGCTTTTTGATCATTCGTGGGGAATTCTAGCGCATGGTTTGGATGTCGAGAGAAAACGCACGTCCCACGTGTATCGTCTTGAATTTCGTTCGATAAGACTGAAAAGACGAAAAATCACGGCGAGACAGCCGGACGGCAAGCGACTGGCTGGTGTCTCGCTGACGTAACGTGGGCAGCGAGAGTGGATATTAAGAGACCTCGAGTTTCCGCTCGTGTGTTAGCTTTCCGTTTATGTAACGCGACGTTAAGCGCTCTCGCGACCCGTTCGATCGCGTGCATTCACGATACGCTGAATAATTTTCTTTCACCCGCTCGAGACATCGCCTTTCGTCCGCCTCCCCGACAACGTGCGGCTCGTCGAAAATCGAAGGCGGCTTCTGTCGCTTCAGTTAACAATTTCTCGTGTATGCGCAGGGACGTAGCTAGAGATTGATTCCGAGGGGGCGGGAAATTATTCCGTTCTCGTGCTCTTTTCTTCATTGTACTTTTCTCTGGGCGTGTGTCAACGTATTTTTTTTCTAAACACAATGAAATGTGATTGTGCGTTAATACATTTTGACAAATATTTGTAGCGAGAATATATCTTATTTTATTTATCGATAGAACGATATGAAAACGTAATTGATAATCAATCGTTGATGAACTTGGTTACTTAATCGTCACTTATTGCGATAATGAGTTGGAACCGAGATAGTGATATTTAGGACACTATTAAAGAGACGTCTACGAGTCGTTCGACTCGTAATTTACGCAATTGCGTTATCTCATAAATTAAATAGTTCTGTCTATTTAATTGCGTGTTACATCATCGAAATCAACATTATTGCTTTTTACTTTAGTTACCAATCTCGTAAAATAAGAAGATGGATTTAGGATAGCAACAAACATCTCGTTTTCTCGTTGTATGCAGCATTCCAACTCATTGAGTTTGTAGTTTCCTGCGATTTAAATGTGTCGCTTAAAAAGGCGTTAAACACGTCTGTTCGGTCGTCAGCAAAACTTGTGAATCGGCGATATGCCAGTCGCATTGGCCCTACCAGTATTGTACTAACCATTCAGGAAACCTGTAACCCGCCGCGGCAGGCCGCGAACTGCACCTTGTTTTCTTTCATCACGTGCACTACGCGCAGTGGCTATAACCAGTCCTGCGGACGTGACACAACAACAAATTTAAAGGGACGACAAAAATCCAGAAGGCTCCTACGAGCCGTCTCGAGCACGTTGGCCCGCGCGACGCGTGTTTCGAGATCGGAAAGCGATCCCGATCGCTCAGCGATGAGCTTCCAAGAACATTTGGAGATTTGATCAAAATTATTGTGCTTGTACTCCATTTTTTTTTTGCAAGAGTGCCATTTTTGGCGTTGTCACACTTGGCACACTTATTTGACATTTAAATTTATCAGTTTTCTTTTTTTCACATTTTGATTACAAATAATCTCAATATACTGATGAACATCGGATAATACTCCTTTCTTCAAGTGTTACATAAATGTTATAATAAGAGTAACTTTTATATCTCGATTTTCCATTCCTTTAGTTATAATTCTTTTGAGCAACTTGGAATGGATTTTTTGTCAGAGGAATTTGCCATCTTTTTCTGCAAATATACGTTTAACTTTTAGTTTTGGATACCTTGATGATCAACGTTCGAATTAAAATTCTGCTTGAACAAAGACTACTCTTGAGTAGTCTAGATAGAGAAAGGAGATTTAATTAATTCAGCCTGACTCTAATTGGGAGAAAACAGTGGAGGAATTGGGTGCAAGTGGCAGTATACAGATGACTCTAATACTTTTTAAAAAAATACAATATAATTTATGAATGTTATATTCTTTTATCTATCGCTAAATTTCATTTCTAATCTGTACTTTTAAATTCGTGTTTATTTTTTATTATTTTTCAATTTTTTGCATTCAATATCTATTGAATAACCTATAGACCTTCTTTCGTGATGGATCACGGATGTGATCAACATCGGTGCTTCTTACGTTGCAGGTATGCACTGCCTAGGTGCGGTGACGGGAGGAGGCACCTCCAGCCCGAACGGGGCTGGCGGTCGGGGTGGTGTTCTTAGTGTGTTTCGAGCCCTTGGAGTCCTTGTGTGCGAAGGGAGAATCCAGGGCCCTCCGCGTGGCTACAAAGAGGGCCCACACTGCGCACCGCCTATGCAGGCGGTTCCAAACGACCACGTGTGCGAAGAGACCAACTATCTGGTACGTAACATATGGTGTCCCCGTTACTCTCCGTTGTTCCTAGGCGACCTACTTATGCGCAGCTTTGCCAGAGGAATATAAAAGCCGTCGAAGAAATTCGTTCGTTTACCAATTAAACGGAACAATCGTAATTTTTACCGTTAAAAATGTTGAAATGCTACAAAAGAAAATAACATATGTATTTGTTGCAAACTTCTTAATGCTTTTTAATAATTAAGTAATAGAAATAATCGTTAAAGTACTTATAAAAATTAAGGCCTATAAAAAAGGATTACAAATGCAAAGATACAAATTGTAAGATTTTCTTATCAGAAAAAAATTTGGAATTTACTTTCGGAAAAACTGTATATTTATTATTTATTTGATATGTTAAAATATATTTTCACAGAAACTCTTCTCTATGATTGACAATAAAAACGATTTAAATAACGCAATAGAGAAAAAGGGCTACGAGCCAAGATGATTTATCTTTTTATCTGTTATGAAAACGTTTTTGTCTACATTTTTTTCTTTAATTTTTCAAGTGCAATCGATATCGAGTACTAATTCAGGAGATCACGGAACGCCTCGCTACTGGATCGTACCTGTGCGTGGAGGTGCTTTTGTGCAGCGATTGTCCGTGTGGTTTGGCAAAGTCCACTTGCAAATATCCTGTATATCCCGTGCCGTCCTTATCCATTTCACCATGGCAAAAATGCGCTTCGGAGATGTTACTGGAGTATTGGTGTATCTGCGTTGTCCCGAGCAAGTAAGTCGCGCTTTATTTCATTCTGTTCTGCAGCACAATTCTAGTTACGAAATAAAATTGAAGAAATAAAGATAAGTATATCAATCACAGGTAATAGTGTCAACTAATTAGCCTAAATATGAATCTAAAAAGTTACACATGTCGAGAACGACGGGATGTTTTAATTTCGATATCAAATCATTTTTAACGTAATAATATTCATTCATCGAATTATCTTCATTTCTTCAATTTGATTTTCAAATCTCTAAGTAATATTTCTAAATTTATTAAAAGTACTTTTTTTAATGTCATATATCTGTATCCGGTTGCTTTTAGGAGCCAGGAACCAATGAATTTTCAAGGATTATACCAAGCAGTGCGTTCACGGTTACACTTCAGCCAGGTTGCAGCGTGGTGGTCACGCAGCAACGGCGCGGAGCCGAGCTACATAGCCACCCGGATCGTATCGCACAATGAGGATAATCTCAGCAAATTCCGAGAGACGTCGGTGGAGCATACCTTTCCTCTGGCTGGTAATGGCGACGGAAATTCCATCAAGGTACGTAACATTATAAGATTATGGTTGCATTCAGCAGAAAAAGCAGCTTTGCAACTGTTATTAAATTCTCGAATATAATTGATTTATACATTTAGATCTAATGAGAAACTAAGGGCAAGATCAATCATATTAAAGAATTTTACAACAGTTGCAAAGCTGCTTTTTCTGCTGAACACAGCCAATGTCACAAATATATACAAATCGACTGTATAAGCGATAAGATTAAAATCAATGTAATTATTGGCATCATATTTTTGTATTAGGTGACTATGTGGGCACTGCCGCGGATGGAAGAGGTACCCATACTCACGTGTTCGTTACACCCGAAAAAGGAAAAAGACGAAGAAGATATCGCGAGGGCGTTAACGCCCACCAAGAGTGTCCCGATAGGATCTGGCAGCGCGCAAAATCTAGAGAGTCTCGTCTTACCTGGTAAGAAACTAATATATTGACCTGTGGAGATTCATAATTATCTTAACAATTTTTATTCGAACATAAATTAAATATAAATCGCTTTTTTTAATAGTTCTAGTGGACGACAGACTACAAACCACTTGTAACAAATCTGGCAAGCATGACTGTCGTTGTGAAGAAGAGGACGTATCCCCTCTATCGCCTACCATTAGATCTAATGGCGAACGGAAGCGTCGTCGATCGCTTCCCTGTGGTCCGGCAGAGAGTCCTTGTGTGAACTCGCAACCGGTACCGTTGCCGTCCGTTCAAGAATATGTGCAGGAGATAAGGGACAACACCAGTTCGAGTTTAATGAGAAATTCTACCGAGTCATTAAACAATCGTAGCATCATGAGGATTCTTCAGAATAGAGAAGTAGAGAACAAGAATGAGGTGAAAACTCACAATAATCGAAACTCGGATCTCGAACGTTGCTTCAAGGTACATCTAAAGATCGAGGATCTGGAACGCGATTTAGGGAAATACTACAAGCATACAGTGACAGAAGTTGCAGAGATTGCCAATTCAAAGAACGCTGATCGGATCGAAGAAGGCTACAATAATTCCGTTAAGAACTCTAATCTTGGAAGAGGGCCCAGTAGCTCCTCGGATATCATATCCGCGGCAAAGAGTAGTGGGATATTGCACAATCTTAGTCCTTTCACTCCCACGAGTTGGGCCTTCGTCTCCTCTTGGCAGAATAGCAATATGAATAGTAAGTTCCAAAGCTTTCGCAGTGCAAAGGAGACTCGTTTTAATGATTCCGAAAAAAATTACAAGCCGCCAGCTGTTACATCCAATCATGCTCTAATCAATCCCTACGCTCAGCCCAATCCTTTCCACGAATCAAATCCGGGACCTTCGACGCATAAATGGATGCAAAAAACGCTAGACAATTCTGCTTGCATCGTACATCAAAGTTGTCCGAAAAATAAAATTGTCGCAGAGGCGCAAGTATCGGCCGGTCAAGACGCATTAGAGATTAATAAGGAAGAAAGTACCATTAAAAGTAGTCAGAAAAAAACTGGAAAGCCAGATTTAAATCAATTAATGTGGAAACTATCGGTGCCAGATGAGAAAGAAAAGAGAGAAGAAGGAGGGTTTCTGGATTGGTTCAGCAAAGTACCTGGAAGAGTCTTGGGTGTTGCGGCAACGAAGAGCTATGTTGATAACAACAAAATGAAGAACGAAAGCAAGTTGGAACATTCAATCGGGCAGCAAGGTACAAACGAAATCAAGTTCAAGAATTGCAATCTCGAATTGAGTCAACGGGAGGTCGACGAAGTGTTAGCGGTATTGCGAGCGAGAACACCTTCGGGACGTAGAAGAGCTACTGTTAAAAATGTGAGAAAACGCGGAGAGCGATCTGAAAGGGTCAATGATGATATGACAGAGAAAATTACAACAAAATGTTGGGAGGAAGGGATAGTTCGGAGTAATTCAATAAATCCTGGAACAGTTCCAGTTTGTACACTTAAATCTTGCGAGGATTGCAGCCGTGGGTTGTGCAAAAAGACAAATCATCAGGTACCAGAAGAACATTCAAGCACTCTAGACCGAGTCTATTACGACAAGAATGTTTATCAGCCTGCACGTTCAAAACTTGCCGAAGGAACCAACAAATTAAATGAGGATTCGCATGCGAAAATACATACGAACGAGGATGCGAATCGTTTGCGAAATGTTTCCACTAAAGCTGACGTGCTGCTCGGAGCCATTCTGCGAACTAGCAAGGACCGAAAGGACTTGTCAGATATTTCACCAAACGGGACCAGACCGAGGTCGACGACTACCATTGACGATGACAGTAGCGACGACGATTCTCACCTTTCGAGCACTGAAAAGCTTGATCAGCAGGACCATAGAACCATTTCGTCCAATGACGAGAAATCCTTGCCACTGAATAAGAGATTCCATCGGTTACGGCAGATATTCAAGAAAGAAGTGGATATTAAGAGAATTGCTTTGATAGCGGACGAGAGTTCCTCATCGTCGGAGACCTCGCCGAATTCGACACTGCAGCAACGCTTTACTACGGCATCATTTCGCTATAACAACGAACAACCGAATCTACATAGTGCAAGGTACAGCAAGACGAAACGGCGAATCGACTTCGCTAATTTCTCAGAGGCTACCGAGGAAAAAGAGGATGCTGCGATATTCAGTACAAAAGACGCACATCAAAAGCCACGCAATATACATAGTACAAATAATAATGATCGCGAATGCGATTCCGAGGGCCTAAACAACCAGCAGAATCATTGCGACAGGCGGCTCGAAGAATCTTTTACGAATAAAGAGCAGGACGAGATTACAAAAGACATAGCTGCTCTTCAGAAGAGCAATTTGATAACTCCAACTATTCCGCAGAGCGGACATTCGTCTTCCAAGCTACGAAGCAACAATTACAATGACAGTATCGCGGAGACAGGAGACGACGAGGCTGTCGATAAGAATGTGCCGTCTGCGCTCGAACAGGAGAGATTCCGCAGATCCTTGGAAAATGCGGCGTCGATGGTATTCCATAGCAGGACTGGCTTGCCGTTGACCTCTAGTCCAGCGCCATTGAGGAGAGGCAGCTGTTGTTTCGATTACGACAGCAGTTTGAATTCCGTTTCCTCTAAAAGAAAGTACGTATCGAAAAACGATACAGTTGAGCGGCATCAGTGAATAGCATTATAATTTATAATATTATAAAATTATAAGTTTTTAGAAGAATTATTTGTGCAATAATTTTCTTCTTGAAAGTTTTTTGTCTGGCAGTAATAGCAGAAATAAAATATTACATACTTTTTCGAGATACATTGGTAATAATATATAATAATATATAAGATGGAAAGTAATTGTGTAATTGAAAGTATCCAAGATTAGTTACAGTGTTTTTTACTGATGCCGTCAAGTTGATATCGGCACAGTTTTTTTTTTCTCTAAAGTGACATTTCGCATTTTTAGCGCGTTGTTTGAATTAAATACACCGCCGAGTCCGGGTGCAGTCTCGCTGGAAGAAACCGATCGCGACGCAGAAACCGCTGGTGAAGGCGAAGAGACACCCAAAAGACGGTCTAGCTCCCGCCACCGACCACAGAGTCATGCTCTTCTAGGCAGCTTCGAGGAATCGGCGTTGAACGGTAGACTCGAACCGGTGTCCACGGTTCACGGTTTCACAGCGGAACTCGGGGCTAGCGGTTCCTTCTGCCCGAAACACCAGAAACTTCCAGTCACTGTGTTTTTCTATACGCTCGGTGACAATGATAAAGTCTCCACACCATACCTTGTACGTACTTTTTCAAACAATCGATTGCAATGTGTATCCTGAATAATTCACCGATACAAATTACCAATGGCTGAGTAATTATTCGATAAAGAGATATTATCCTCTCAAAGATCCCTATTTTTCTTTCATATTCGTAATGATGATTCATGCTATTATTTTACAGGCTCATATTAATCTTGAGAAAAAGGGCTATCAGGTACCAAGAAGTGGCACCATTCAAGTGACTCTTCTGAATCCATTGGGTACAGTCGTTAAGATGTTCGTAGTATTGTACGATCTTTCCGATATGCCGTCGCGATCTCATACTTTTTTACGTCAAAGAACACTGCGGGACAAAACACTACGCTACCTCGTTCACCTTAGGTATGTTCCATTTGTATATTTAAATAGTTTTAAAAATAAATTATATAAGCAATCGGACCATTGCGGACCGATGTATAAATTATACGTTATGTAAAACGCCAATTACAAATTTTAAAGAATTGAAAAATTGATATATATGTTTAAGAAACGTTTTGTGAAGTCGGCTTTAGTGCTAGAAATAGACTGGAAGAAATAACAGACGCACGTATAAACTTTTCTTCTAGATTTATGTCCAGCAAATCAGGTCGAATTTACCTGCATACGGACATACGTATGATTATCTGTCGGAAGTCAGACGTGGACACGGCGTCGGACTTGGGCTCGGAACCGCCGAAAGAACTCAGGAGTTACATCCACGGTCCTACAAATCCAAAATTTTCGCCAAGGTGCTGAGCCACGTGGTACTTTCCATGGGGCTGCTGCCAATCGTTCCGCCCGCCCAGTCCCTTTCAAGTCGAACTGTGATCGACAAACGATCGAATAAGATCAAATTAGAAATCAATTTTTATTCTTTTAACCCTTTGCGAGATAGACAATTACAATTTTTTTTTTTTAGCTAATGGGAAAAATAATCTGAATATGTTATAATTTATTATATAATTAATTTCTCTGACTTGATAACTGACATAATAATTTGTATCTTCTGTGGATATAAGTTATTATGTGTTAATCAATTATATTATAATGATATTACGATGATAAAAATGTAGATTTCAAAATTATTACGGAACATTATTTCTTTTATAAATTATTTTAGATCGCAAAGGGTTAAGAGAGATTGAGAATCGAAAAAGCGCGAGAATATGAGAAAAATTCGAAAGATTACGAATGAATTTAACCGCTCATGTTGGAATAATAATTTATATTCGCAATATATTTCTTTTTTCTTTCTTTTTTACAAAATTATTAGTTCGGGCCTTTTGCGTTGCCCGATATAGAATTAACTTTTGTATATGACAATTTCAACACGAATGGTTTGTAAAATTGACTCGAATATTGCGATTACACTCCCAGTCTCATTTTGATCCGTGATTCGTGCTTGCAGTATAGAATGCTGCATATAAATACAATAGGATAAGTTCATGCTGTTTTTCGTTTTAAATTTGTTTCTGTATTATATAATAGTAATATATATATTTATATATATACATATTATATTTATATAATTTGAAAATTCTATTGAATTAAATCGGTTAATCTTTCTATTTTCAATCTAGTGCCCAATAATCATGAAAATGAAAAATCAATCGACTTGAAATTCGCATTAGGAATTCGAGTTACTTTCTTTGTCCTATGCATCTATTGTAATTATTGCTATAGTGCATGCTGGCAACCATTTTATTTATGGAGTTTATCGCAAGCTGGACGATCTCGTTGAGAGGCCATTTTTCTCAACTTATTGCTGTAAATATAGTCACGCGTAGAGAGTAAGTTGAGTAAGAGTTTTTAAGCAGGATGATATATATACTGCCATTGTGTGTGTAGCACTCTACGTTTAAACGAAAAAAAAAAGTGATATGAGCGTGGAAAAACGTCGACGAATTCGGTCTCGCATTCCTATGGAAGATAAAATCGAGAAATATCAAAACGTGTTGTGATTGAATATGATATGTGCAATGAAAGTACAAAGTTATTCATGCGTTATTTCGTGGTTCTACAGCGAATCATTGTAATTTCTGAGCAGAAAAGATAAGCCCGAGAGAGAAAGAAATCAAAATTCTTTTCCCGGAAAACGAAATGTGATTTTTGTGATTTGCGTGATTGTGATTTGTTTCTTTTTCTTCCTTGCGATTCGAAATGCAAAAATGAACGCGAGCGACCGGAACTCGTCGGTTTTTCCCGGGAGTAAAAAAAATGATTATTTACACATATATATGTATATATACATAAACCAGAACACAATCTTTGTGTCCGTAGCACTGTGATGAATATTTTGATAGACTATAAAAAAAGAGTAATTATTATTATTACAAAATAACTATTTCTGGATAGTAGACACGTCATAGATTTAATCGATTCTATTAATACGTCGTGCGAGGAAATATAATCGTGCGTAATTTACTAACTAGCCGCAAGGTTAATGCCCATTTTAAAGCAAACGAACGTGACGATTCGCGTTTTCCTTTATTTTTCTAAAGATGCTCCACATAAATCGCGCGGAAGAATTACGCAAATGATTGGGAGATCTCTGATCTTTCACCAATGAATATTTTATTTATGGTTTATCGTGCTCGTGACGCACGACTTGTCAATTCTTCCTATCTTTTTCTTTATAAAGCAGTTAAGATTACTGTTTTACAAGGAAAATAAAATATGGTACACTTACAAACACAGTCCTTCTCTCTCTGCGTGGTGATTTTTAATTACAAGTCAAATATAGAGATGAAATCTAGAATGAAAAAGGAAATTGCTTATAAGCTTACATAAGCTTTTATGAAATAAAATAATGTATTATTAATATCTTTTTATATAATATTGTATTATAAAAAGAAGATAATATATATTTCTATTATATATTGTATTATTAATATATTATCTTTTTATAATATTAATAATATTGTAAATAATTTAAATATTACTTTCTTATAATTTGTATTTATTACAACATTAAAAATCTTCTTTATAGAGTTGTTTATAGAGTTATAATTCTCTATTGCTTTATATTGCAAAAGATGAAGGAAGTCCACGTTATCAATTAATTCGCTACATTCAATATTCGATGAAACGTTTTAATTATAATCAAATCAAATTTCGCGTGATTAAAGTGTTGAAAATAAGAGAACCTTCGTTATCGTTTGCGTCTTTCTTACTGTGAATTAGAGGAAGGCAGCTTTCACTCCTCAAAATATAAATTAACTTTGTAGGATAACGCGGTATATAAATAAAGTCGCTGTACGTATAAAGAGAGATTATTTTTAATTGTTATTTTCTAGCGGAGAAATTGGATAATCATATATACGCATATAGCAATCAAAAGCTAATAATTGCACATTTAATTTCGATTAAAAAAGAGAAACATTTCGATAGTCGCTTCGTATCTAATTTAATATTTATTTTGTCTTTTATCTTATTTTTTTTTTTTTTTTAGAGGAACGAGAGCTCTTCTTACAAATGATTTTAATCAAATTCTTTCACGTTCATTCGAGAGAACACCAAAATTTTTTCACGAAGACATTCAAAATTTTTAAATACGTTTAAAAAATTTTATCTACTTTTCTCCAAGAAACTTTTTATGATTAAAATTTCTTTTTTTATAACAAACGTGCGATATTATGTAATTTATGCGCTTATTATGTTCGTAAAATCAATAAAAAAAAGAGGAAATAAATCTTGGTTCTTTTTTTTAACTTGAATAATTGTAAATTAAATTTTCTCAATTATTTTCGATTATAATGAATTTGCAGCGGTCGAATTATTTCCTGTTCTTTTATCAAGACCGAAATGTTGTATATTCCAATAGGCCGACGTGACAGTGAATATTGAATTCGTGTACTTTTTCGCAATTCGCCAGATCGATTAGCTAGATGCGTCTTTTAAACAGAGACGTTGCAAGATATATTGTACAGAATGATGGCGAGAGCAATCGCGCCTCTTGTTTAACGAGAACGACTGTAACCGTTGTTAAATACATTTTGTCGATGTTTTCTTTTTGAGAAATAAAGTAGAATGTCGAGACGATAATTAAATGATAAATCGAACGTTGAAGTTTATTCGAGGAACAAATCCTAGCTCGAATCCATAGATAAAATTGCGAGCAGCGAATATCATAGAAAATAGTGAACGGCAAGGATATGTAAATACATATCACTGCCCTGTTCATTGTATATAATTTATATAGGGTGGCATAAAGAAGCATCCCGGTGGTCCTCGTGTCGGCGACGATAAAGAGTTTCGATAAAGCAATTAATACAGAGATAAAATAACAGATTGTCGCGCTTTGGTAAAATAATAATGCAGTTCTTATCGATCGCAACATTTCGGTGTCGACGTCAAGAAGGACCATCTTTTCTTGTACCACCCAGTAACGTACAGGCGACCATCTTACGGTGATTGTAACCGATTAATTGTAGCTGTATTTTTCTGGCTTGGTCGAGATCTTGTTAGTGTTTACCGAGAAGTAAGCAAATACATCAAATGAAATGTGCATGGGAGGAGGTAGAATATAATATGAGACACCCTTATCAGAAATTCAACTCCAATATATTATTCCTTTCAACTGGCGATAATAATGTTTTCCTCCCTCTTTCTTTTTCTAGAACAGAATTCTACTTACAAATATAAACGGAGGTGGATTGAGCTTAGAAACATTAAAAAGTTATATAATTAATTGTTATAGAAAATATAAGCGATTGTCAAAATTAAAATAAACGACAACCTGCAGAGCACAAACAGTAATATTAACATTAATTTATGTCAGTATTATAATTTCCCAACAAATTATGTAACTGTTACGTACAACATGTGTTAGCCCTATAAGCGCATAATATTATTTAA